GGGAGGAAGGGAGGAAGGGAGGAAGGGAGGAAGGGAGGAAGGAAGGAAGGAAGGAAGGAAGGAAGGAAGGAAGGAAGGAAGGAAGGAAGGAAAAAGAAAATAGTATAGCTTGGATCTGGCACACTTTAGTATTCAAAGTGACACTTTGCTTTTGACTAAAAGCGATCTTTTGCAGTAGATTTTCCCAATGCAACGTATTGTTGGATTTCTTGACTGCTGTTTCCATGGACTTTGATTGTAGATTAAGGTAAAATTAAATCCCTGTCTTTTCCTCCATTTGTCGTGATGTTGCTTTTTGTTTTAGTTATGAGGATTTTTCTTTATGTTGAGGTGTGATCCATACTGAAAGTTGTAGCCTGGGGTCTTCATTAGTAAAATGTTAAAGTCCTCTTTACTGTCAGCAAGGAAGGTTGTATCATCTGCATCATGCAGGTTATTGGTGAATCCTGTTGCCACCTTCCTCTTTATATCGTCCAGCTTCTCATATTATTTGCCCAGGATACAGATTGGATACCACCCTGCTGCTTACTTTTCCTGATTCTGATTTTAAACGGCACAGTAGTCCCTTGTTCTGTTTAAGGCTCTTCATGAGCCCCAGTGTTTTGGAATTCCCACTCTTTGCAATGTCATCCATAAGTTGGCTCTAAGAGCAAAGTTGCATCGTCTACATGTGTGGGATGTTAATTCATTTACATATTATTGTTTCCTGAAGTCCCTTGTTTATTCTGTTTTTCTCAGTTTTTCTTTTATGTCCTTTTTCAGTTTTTCCTTTATGTCCTTTTTCTGTTTTTATCCTATAAGGAAATCTCATTGCATATTCACTCTTCTTGGTTTGACAGTGTCTCAAACTGTTTTTTATTACCCTAACAGTGTTGCTGTTGTTTTTATAGAATATTCCTCAATAGGGAATTGTCTGATATTTTTCTCATGTTGTAGGGAAATAATACACTTTGGGAGGAAGGTCACAGAAGCAAAGTGCCATTCTCATCCCATCATATCAAGATCAGATATTATCATTTTATCAGTATAATCACTTGTTCACCTTGATCACCTAGCTTGAGGTAATGTTTGTCAGGCTTTTCTACTGCACAGTTACTTTGTCTTCCTTTTCATATGTTGGAAGGAAAGTCAAATAAGTAACCGACAAGTAAAGAGTGGGGGCC